GCCTTCCCTGAATGGTCATCTATCCAAATACCAGCTGATCAGCGTTGCTTAAATTTTCATATCAATGACAAGTGACTAGGTCGCATTCGCGCTATAAATTAAGTTATTTTAGTTGCTTTCTTAAAGTTATTGGACTTCAAAAAAGTTTTTTTACAATATTTGTTTAAGATCATTTATTTTTAAACATATTTTAATAAAATTGTATATGCAAAGTTTCTGGAGCCGTCGAATATGAATGTGAGCTTATTTTTTACTTAAGACTGAAATCGTTAAGAACATCTTAGAGCCTTATGTTTTCTTGTCTAATTTTTCGCTTTGTTGGGAGAGGTTTTGTATGTCGCTAAAAGAAAAGAATTTCAGAGAAAAATGGATTTAATTTTTTTTCAGTTACGGATATTTCAGCATAATAAAATTTAACCTGTTTTCTAAATTTCAATTCAAAAGTCAACACCTACTAATGTGTGTCCTATGATCTCAACTTATCAGGATTACATTGCATTATAAAGACTCTGTAGCATCGAATTTTTAAAATAAATCGTAAATAATATTTAATTTAGTTGAAAATTTAGCAAAAGGGTGACGTATTAGAATACTTCCAAATACTAATTTATTACATCTATCATAATTATCCAATTAATGCCCCTCTTTGTTCCAAACAAACTATGGGGAGGTATAATTACCGACTAAAAAGAATTTATGAAACCTATTCATTTTGTCTTTAAACCATCCATCATCCTCACTTTCAGGAGCTGAACAGATTTAATAACACGTGTCAAGGTCTCCCGGGCACACCTGCCTGGCAAGTTCAGTACGTGTTTCTGGAAGATACAATGTTGGATCCCTTAAATGTTCCTGAAAAGGATTATGTACTCAATGGATGGTTCAAATATAGTTTCTCTTCTGTTTCTATTCAATGATAGTTCAGGTACTATTGAATTATTATTAATTTAAATTAGGTATTTAATATTTTCAGTAAATGTCGGAAAAATGTTTTGAAATTAGAAACATGCCGTTTATTAATATATAGAGTGACATAACATGCCTAGTTTGTTAGATTGGTTTTAAAGTTATTTATTCAACAGATATTTTTGTAAACACTCACGTATGCAGCTTCTGACATAAGTAATATAGTGTTTTCCAAGTTTTTAACTATATCACAGTGACGACTTTCTGGAGTTAATTACACAGTTCTACAAAAAAAGGATTGTGCAAATAACCAGAATACTTTATTTCCCTGTATTTTGAGCCGCTGGATATGAATCTAACGATCCGATATGAATCAGAATTGCCCCAGCAAATCACCAGAATTTTCTAACCTGGAAAAATAGCTTAAAATCGCTAATATTCTCGAATTTTAGAATGATAATTACACATACTCACAAAAAAAGAAAAGTGGTCTGTTCCAAAGACTAGACCTATATATCCTTATGTATTTTGATACGCTGATTCCGAATCCTGATCCAGAATTGCTCCATCACCCACCATTTTTTTTAAATCGCGAAATATTGCCCTTAAATACAGAAAATGTGGAAAATTCTATTTTTCAAAATTAGAGGAAGTCAACTTTTATCTCGGTTCTTATGTCTATGGAAGTGTAGAGACTGAAAGAATCGCGAAGAATAGAAAGTATGGCAAAAAAGAACAGATTTCCATCCAGGGTTGAAAAACCGCAAACAAAAGTTACTCTGAATTTCTTAGGGAGTCAGAAAGGTGAAGATTACAAGAATTTGCTCCTGGAATTGGAAAACTTCAAACAGTTGGGTTGACTGATGAACTTGAAATTACATTTCCTAGATTCTCATTCTTGATTACTTTGGAGAATGCAGTAAAGTAACAGAATGGACGATTTCTCCGGGATATCAAGGAAATGGAGCGTCGCGTCGGTACCACTACCAAGGAAGGTGGGATGGCAGATTTCTGCTGGAAGCTTAAAACGAGCAAAAAACACAGAGAAGAAAAAAATCCTTTGCATAGATCGTTTAAAGATAACAATGTTCGTTACAAAAGGAGAAAGGTGTAAAAGGAACGTCATTTCTTATATGGAAACGATACTCACATCTTCGAATTTCGAATTTCTGGAAATGAATTTCCCAGACTTTAGGGTTATTTTGCAGGGTATAAAAATACTGGAAGGTAATAGAGTGATTCTGACTTCGGATTCGGCTTTGGTACGTCAAAATAGATATAGATATGGTCCTGTAGTAACTTCTATTCTCTTTTTAAAATTGTTCCAATTGCTACACCCTCCTAGAATGGAATTTTTCGTATTTAAGGGTAGTTTTTCGGCAACGACAGTTCCCTTCTATATGTTTCAATTATTGGAGAGACTCTAAAATATCGATGCAGAAATTGTTAACAATTATGACATTCCATTAGTGTATTAATAGACATTTTGAACTTTCCAAATTTTTTGCTTAGTGACGTCATAAATTTAACATAAAATTTCAGATTAAAATAAAAAAAATACCGATTCAAATTAACTAATTTCTTCACCAAAATTATAAAAAAATTAATCTTGGCAATGTGAACATTTCTATTTTTTTTGCAGTTGAAAAAAACTACCCCATTGTTTTTATGAACATGCAAGCAAATAAATCAATTACTGAGTAATTTTGTATATCATTGTATTAAAGTCATAAACTAATAATGAGCTGCCACAGTGGTTTTTACACAGATCTGTTTTAGAGACAATATTTTAGGTCTCGATTAAAGGAATTGGTTAACTGATCGGATAAATAGATTGCCATAACCTATATGTATTGTACGTTACAAATACGTAAGTACCTATACGTTTTTTTAATCCAAATATTAATCGGGACTCAATATATTATTATTTTTAATTATTGTAATCAAATCAATGTATTTAAACACAATTTTTACCAAAATAACCTGATTAACGGACACTTGTCCAGCACTACACGCCAAACACCACGCCACGAGATGACCTAATGGGGACGATGGGAATAGACAAAGACATATAATGTGTACCAAATACGAGTTTATCGCAGAATTTATTTAACGTTTACCCATATTTGAGTGAAAGTACTAAGTTTTAGTTCAAATATTATCACAAATGAGTAAAATAATCAAAATGCTCAATATTGAGTGAAAAGATTCGCTCTGTACCTTTATTGCTTTCACTCACACTGACACTTTTTACATTGTAGTAATTGTATACGCCTTTTAATAAAATCAACCATATATTTAGTACATTTATAAATTGCTTTTAAATTTCTTCGTGACTCTTTTCACTTTACATGCAAATGTCAATTTCTACCTATTAACATATTCAAGAACATTTCATTCCATCCACCAGTGACTTGCAAAGGAATATACCACTCTGAAAATAATTTGTACGTTTATAATTTTTTAAAGACAATATTTTGTTTGCTTATTTAATTTTGTATAAAAGTTAATTCTAGATAAAAGGGACAGGAGGTGTTTTTTAAACTGAACTGAATGGGCAATTGTTTCCTAATATTCTAATATTAATAATAACATAATATAAAAAATAAGAAAAGGTCATGGTGATGACAAAATGTTAATAAATTGTTTTTTTGTACGTTATTTCGTTATTTGACCAGAAAATCGATTCAAATTTGATTTGCACGCCCTGTATCTTTTCCAAATCTGCTTCTACAGGAATTTTTTTCCTTAACATGATTTCATCTAATGATCTGAAATTTTGTAACATTCTTTGTGTATTTCTGTATTTTGCTGTCATTTAACGAGTCCCTACATCGCCGTTCAATTAAACAAAATTTGTACTTGCACAATAAAACTGTCATCTATAAAGATTATTTAGGAAAATGACAAATTATTCAAGGAAGACGGACGACTTTGTAACTTCAAACCGTCAGTTTTGCGACAGCATCACACCTGGAATAGCGTGTGAGAAATGCTACAGGCAGAGGATTTAGGGTTAATCCATCTGAAACGTGACTGAAACCCCCCTGAAATCGGAGATATAGCTAATTTAACCGGCTTTCTACTAGTCTTAACCCATTTCGTTCTTTGTCAATATTTTTATTTGGTACTGTCTCCACAGATAATATTACTAAAAGATTTCGAAGGAGACTGATACATTTTGCACATAACATTTTTTTGACCTTTCAATTTTAAATATATGCAAGACTTTTCCTTGTCTCTAAGCAGAGTCGAATTAAAGGGACGATTTACCAGAACATTAAAAATATATATTTTTTTCGGTTTTTCCAAATATTTCATAAACGAATTAAACTTTTTTTGCCAAATAAAAGTCTCATTAAAAGGCATATTTTTTTGGCAGAAATTAGAGTTTTACAAATCTTGTTTGTATCACCTGGATTATGTTTGTGAAAGTGAATATATTTAAAAAAAAAATAGATATGCGAACGCTACGGGTTGAATGAACCCATTCTTTATTGAACCACGGAGGTCGCTAAGAATACTTGAAGCAGTCTTTTTATTTTTCCCATAGGGGGTTTAAGAAAAATGTGGGATTCTATGGAATTTTACTTTGTGTTGCTGCATGTTGTTAAAATGCATCGTTCAAAATAAAATCTATTTCAATTTTCTACTCCCATTGCCAATTCCGGAGAGTTGACTTCTTGCTGATATTCTTATCAATAAAACCTGATATTTTTTGCTAAAAATATGTATCTATATTAAATACATTTAACGATTTGAATTATATACAGGTTGAATGATTTCCAGGCTGGTTGACACGTCGTCGATTTACAACTCTTGACGTTTCGAGAGACATATCGCTCTCTTCTTCAGAAGTTACTCTGAAACTGGAGATCTACTAATTTTGTCACTATTTATATTTGATGTGGTCACTGATCCATGACGTTCTCGTGAGTAATCTCGTACGCGTTGTTGATGTTCCAGTGGGTTGCTTTCACGGATGACCATGCCACCATCCCTGTTGAAATTGTTCGGATTTTTGTAAATTTCGAATGCTGCTCTGTATAGTCAGGGCCAAAATCTTCTCTCTCTCTCTCACTACCATGTTGGCTTCACTCATTTCCTGTGTGTCCCGTGTCGGCTTTATGCTCTTGTACTGCCGATTTTTCCCAGTTGTTATTTTTGAGGTGACTTTTGTGTTTCTTTAACCTCATGTTGATGTGCCTTCCTGTTTGTTCTATGTAGACCTTTCCACAAGAGCAAGGAATACTGTACACATCGAGGCCCTGGAGCTGGTCGTTGTTGCAGGTCTTTGGAAACGCTGCCGCCACCTTTTTTACAGTGCTGAATACTGTGTTGATATTCCTCTTCTTCAAAAGAGGCCCGATTTTATTTGTACAATCTTTCACGTAAGGTAGATACGTCGTAGCTAAATACTCCTGTTTCTCCATGGGCGTATGTCTCCTCCTGATAGCTCGTTCGATATTTCTCACTGTGTAGCTATTCTCTCTCAGGGCCGTGCGTAGGTGTTCCAGTTCCTCGGCCAAGAGTCTTGGCTCGCTGATGATCCGCGCTCGATGAATCAAGGTATATGTGATCCCCTGTTTCTGGACTGGGTGGTTGTGGGACTCCGCATTCAGATATCTGTCTGTGTGAGTTGGCTTCCTATATACTCGATGTCCTAAAGTGCCACCTGGTTTTCTCCCAACCAAAACATCCAAGAGGGGAAAGGCAGCGTTTTTCTATACTTCTATTGTAAACTGGATATCTGGATGTATCCCATTGATGTGATCCAGGAAATCCGCTACCGTGGGGCCAGATGATGAAGGTGTCGTCAACATATCGGTACCGGCACTTCAACATTGTGGATTGAATTAGGTATATACAGTTTAATTAATTTCATATAATCGGTGAAATGCGCAAACGTGAGAGAGCGCACACTTAAAATATAAAAAGATCGAGTGGTGGGATCTAAAGTACAATCGAGAAATCACAATAATTTGCATAAAGATGTGTTTATTTATTATTTTATTATTTATTCTTGTCCAAATTTTTGCCGTGGACTCTTTACGCGAGAATATACAGCATTTACTGTACGAGTGTCGACACGAAATGAGCTCTGCTGGCCCCACTTACACTTTGCCACTGCGCATTCAACCTTCACCGATAAGATGTGACAAGTCGAACTGTAATTAACATTCGAATGTTCTATGATTTAGAGGTCAATATCTTAGTAATTGATTTTTGAATAAAGACAAATTGATTTTCTGGAATGATGCATTTTAGCGACAAGTAAATAAAGCAAATTTACATAGAACACTTGTGTCTTCCCAAAATCATTACCAGCAAAAAAGATATGATAAGAAACCAAATACCATATCAGACTTCTGTGTTTTAGGTAAGAAATAAATTTGTTCTATTTTTGGCTATCCTACAATCCTGTATTTTCAACTTTTTTTTTTGTGTCGGATAAGTTCTAAATCACCCTGTAACATATACGATTTTATGTGTGTCTACCATAAAATACCTGTTTATGTAAGTATCTGGAATCCAAATGTTTATAATTATTGGTTTTCAGGTTCTGTATTATCAAACAGTTAGGTATTGTTAATCGTGACTTTAATTGAAAACGTCTCTGTTTTATTTGGAGATTAAATGTCTGGTTCCTATTATAACCATGTTTTGTTATCGTAGTTAAATCTAACATAAATGTCGTTGAAGAGGCGTTCGGTTAATCTGAAAGAACAACATATCACGTTACCCAAGCTTTAAAATTATTCCAGTAAGTGGATCACATATGTACGACAAATTAAATGTGTCTGTATCTGAGAAAAGTATATTTCACTAAATTTTTTAATAATGGTTATAAGTGTAAGTGAAATAAGAACAAAAATATTTCTGTTTTCTATAAAATATACTCATACGGCTTATTTCCAAGTAATCCTCATCGACTTGTACGTCATGATCCAATGTGTCTACAACTCTTTGAAGGCGTGCTGAAACCTTTTGTAGACATTACTTAATGATATTATATGCAGTAGAAAAGATCACATGTCAAAAAATATAATATCAAAAAGTAGGCCTTATTAACTATACCTACCATATAAAAAAATAATTTTGGAAATCGGCCAACGCCATCCTAAATACGGAGGTGTCCCGACTTTAAGTGAAACACACTGCATACAGGATGCATCCGAAATACGTGCGTTCCTTTAAAGCCATAATAGAGGACGAAATAATCAATTTTCTCCCATGACTCAACCCATGATTTAAAATGTCATATTTTCAAGACAAAAAAATGTCAAATGAAAGAAACAAAAAATTTTAAAACTGGTCCTGTTGAATGCACTAGTACTCAACTGTTTGCTAGTGAATTTGTCAGTAGGTAGCAATTTAGTCCAAGCATTCTGTCACGGATTAANAAATCACCCTGTAACATATAGGATTTTATGTGTGTCTACCATAAAATACCTGTTTATGTAAGTATCTGGAATCCAAATGTTTATAATTATTGGTTTTCAGGTTCTGTATTATCAAACAGTTAGGTACTGTTAATCGTGACTTTAATTGAAAACGTCTCTGTTTTATTTGGAGATTAAATGTCTGGTTCCTATTATAACCATGTTTTGTTATCGTAGTTAAATCTAACATAAATGTCGTTGAAGAGGCGTTCGGTTAATCTGAAAGAACAACATATCACGTTACCCAAGCTTTAAAATTATTCCAGTAAGTGGATCACATATGTACGACAAATTAAATGTGTCTGTATCTGAGAAAAGTATATTTCACTAAATTTTTTAATAATGGTTATAAGTGTAAGTGAAATAAGAACAAAAATATTTCTGTTTTCTATAAAATATACTCATACGGCTTATTTCCAAGTAATCCTCATCGACTTGTACGTCATGATCCAATGTGTCTACAACTCTTTGAAGGCGTGCTGAAACCTTTTGTAGACATTACTTAATGATATTATATGCAGTAGAAAAGATCACATGTCAAAAAATATAATATCAAAAAGTAGGCCTTATTGACTATACCTACCATATAAAAAAAATAATTTTGGAAATCGGCCAACGCCATCCTAAATACGGAGGTGTCCCGACTTTAAGTGAAACATACAGGATGCATCCGAAATACGTGCGTTCCTTTAAAGCCATAATAGAGGACGAAATAATCAATTTTCTCCCATGACTCAACCCATGATTTAAAATGTCATATTTTCAAGACAAAAAAATGTCAAATGAAAGAAACAAAAAATTTTAAAACTGGTCCTGTTGAATGCACTAGTACTCAACTGTTTGCTAGTGAATTTTGTGCAGTAGGTAGCAATTTAGTCCAAGCATTCTGTCATGGATTAATGTTAAATTTGCAGAAATTATTACCTGGACAAAAAAAATATGACCGTATAGAAAACTCAATTTTAAATTGAGTTTCTTATTCTTTAAATCGATCCAAAATGGCGAACATGGTTAAAAAAAATCGCAAAGTTGCAAAAAACGATTTTTCTAAAATAACTAAAAAAATATAGCACCGATTGCAAAAATTTTAAATGAGAAAGTTGTAGGTTTTAAAAAGATCTATAGACTGATTTTTTGTAAGTATCGATTGCAAAATCTTTGATATCTCGGCTTCTGGACCACGTACAAAAATTCTTTTGTACTTAATCTGGAGTAGCTATTATATAATATTATAGTCATTTTCGCCTTAGATTTTTTTTACTTTTATTATACTTCTTCACGAAAATATGGACGACGAACAAGAAAATGAATCAAAAGAAAATCCGACAAAGAAAAGAAGAATTTCATTCGATAAATAATTTTATCTATATAGGATACTTGTTAGTTTTCATTGTAATAATTTTATAGATATTTTATACATACTAGCCGAGATATCAAATATTTTGCAAGCGCGAGTCATTTAGACTGCACGTCATCAGTTTATTACTCAATTACTAATACTAAAAATCAAGTAAACATTTTCTTTTTTTTTTTGAAAATATAAGTATTCAATATTAACCTCTATCAAGCGCATCGCTGTAAAATGTTAACTGCGTCCTCAAAATTTTTTTTAAATAAAAAAATTGTCTCGGTGCCAGAAGGTCGTAGAAAAACATTTTTTTTTAAATTTGTGAAAAAATGTCAGCAGTTTTTCATGAAAGTTGTAAAGCAGACAATTCTACATAAAAATGGTCTCTTAGCTTTTTCTTGTACTATTAAAATTAACAGAGTTAGGGAGGCTAGAAGTTAAGGGAAGATTTCAGAAATTTAAAATTNGGCCTACACGAGATGAGGCAGGATAAAGAGGGATAATCCCCCTCGATCCCAAATCATTGAGGCCAATTTCTAGCCATGGAATAATGGCGCGGTCATATTTTTTTGTCCAGGTAATAATTTCTATAAGCATTTCTCTATAATGCTTGGACTAATTTCAAGGACGTTGTCTCGTAACGTTATTAGTCAGTCGAAATGTTTACTTTAAAATATATTTTTGAGGCTCTCTATTAGAAAGAGTTGAAATACCGCTAGCAAATTAATGAAAATATAATAGAAATCAACTGCTCACCACAAAGCGGTATTAGGTAATTCCGTTGGCCGTGCATCGCTCTCAGTCAAGCGAGCGCTAGTTATTTTTAGGACGTCGCAGTGTAATCATCGCCAATAGAAAGGACGTATTTAAATACTTAAAGTATATAAATCCTTTTGGGATAGACACGATTACGTTGGAAATCAAAATTATCGATGCTAGCTGACGGACGGGTATCACGAATTAATGTTACTGTTAATTTCTAGAAAACGTTACGGCTCCTTATTACAAGACAGAACCTGGCCAAAGATAATAACTACTTCTTACTTAAGGAGTACGTAGTCTTAGACATTCGCATATTAGAAGCATTCAATGAGAATGGCTAACAACCAACAAATTTAAACATTGCTTTGTATTATACAGTCTATTAAATGAATTATTTTAGTTTTTTTTTTGTGTGAGGGCATAGAAAAACGATTTACAGTGCTGAAGTATAAGTGACATTGACTTTCATTTTTGAATAGGAGTATGCTTAACGACAAATCCGTAAAATATATATATCTCTTCGAAGACACAAGTACATTAGAAAACTAAACAGAAACCGCATCAGTATCTGGGACGTATGAATAATAAACCAAGTAAAATGGGAACCGAGATTAAACCAACTGCTGACGAGTTACCATTTTCAAATCTACCCTTGTTTTTAAATTTTAAAATACTTATTATCCGCCCTTAATGAAAAATTTGCAGGGACGTGAGGACTGTAATTTTCCGTATAGAATTATTGATTTTTTAAAATTTAATACTCATAACTGATTTACTTTGATTATACAGGGTGTTCCGAAATTAGGGGGCAATATTTCTACAGAGCGTTCTGTGTCGAAAAAGATTACTTTTTCTTTATATAAACGTGGGTAAAAAATTCGTCCTAAGGAAGTTATAGCCACTTAAAGGAGCCACTCTGATGATGTTTTTTTCTAAATAACTCCGGAATAAGTCGATATGCAATTAAGTATGAATAAAATATTATTGATTTTTTATAATTAATTTATTAATTTAATCATCATTTCTTTTGTGATTAAAGTATAATTCAAATATTATTATACATATTACTAATTTTCGACATATTTTGAAAATAATTATTGTTTAAACAATTTTAGAATATTTAAATAAATTTGTTTTTTATCTTTGATAAACAGTATATAAGTTTATGCACTTCCAATAAAAAAATAAAGTTGATAATTAAATGAAGTTTAAAGATAAATAATTATCGGACTGTTGAAAGACCAATAATTATTAACGACAGGCATTTGAAAATACGCTAATTGTTTTTTTTT